GTTACCACCGAGCCAGCAGGCTGCATTTCTCAATAGTTTTCTTCTCATTTCCGATGCGCTCCATAATAAGCGCGCATGCATTCGCTCACGTGCAATGGCTGGCCCCTCGCATGCATAATGCAGCAAAATCAGGTCACACTCACACAGCCTGGCATGTGCATGCGTGTGGGCAGTTTACAGTACAGCCAAATGATGCTATAATTTGTGGCCATCATTTCTCTCCCCCGCACAGAGTGGCAGTTTGAACGCAGAATCGTCCGACAGGGGGAGATGTTTCCTAATGGGAGCTTACAGCCGTCCTCCTCCTCCCTCTCATCCACCCACGCTCACTGTCACTATTAGCACCAATTCCAACCATTCCCTCTCTCTTCTTGTTTGACTCTTGCATTTTGCCTAATGTATGTTTTCAGGAAGGCGTTTATGATGCATTCAAATTTTAAACTTCTTACTTGTTTCGCTCTCTTTTTTTTCTTCTTCTTCTTGTTTGCCCCTGTGACACACTTTTGTAGTCATGCAGAGCTGAAATGGCTGGCTGAAACCATCTCAGAAGATAAGGGGGGGAAAAAAGTGTTCAAATGTGTTTGTGTCTCAGAAAGGGGAAAACAAAACAAAAAAAGCTAATAAGTGGTTGTTTTAAGACCTGAACTCTGCGTTTTCTTGGGAGAGCTATTATCATTCAACACCAACTCGAGATTGAAACATGGATTCTCGCTCTCTTGCTTTCTTTGGCTGAAATCGGCTTCTTTTGCAAATAGGTTGTCTCCTGTCAGAGCACGCCGGTGTCTCTGCCTGTCGTAAAAATGGCACATTTCTCACTTTTGGCACATGTTGTCAGTGTTGTACCCCTCCTCAATTTGTGTTCTGAGCCTCCATCCTTCCCTCCTCCCCCTCCTGGTTTGACTAAAATCCAATTTACTGGCTGTCAGCTCAACTCTATAATCCTATCCACTGCTGTAGCGGAGAGGTAGCTCTTTGAATTTTACCATTTACTGTATTCACTGGTTATAGCTATATATACCATCTTTCCCCATGTCTGTATCCTATGCTACCCTACCTCATCTTCTCTTGGCCAGTGTGTATGGAGAGTAGGCGAGCGTGTTGTGTGTCTTTGGAGATAAAGTCCTTTTTCTGTCACTGCAGGATTTTCGTCTTGGGGTAATATGTGTAGTTTATCTTGCAGCAAAGAAACATTAATCGTATCACTTCAGCGCACTCTGGCTGCAGGGGAAATCAAGACTCCACAGCATGCGTGTGAATCCAGCGCGAATGAGTCTCATATATAGAAAATCAATGCACAAGTTTTTTTTTTCTTTTTTTTTTTTGAAAGTACAAGTCCTCTTTACTGCACTTGTTACATAACGCGCAGACCAGTGTTTTGATTCATTAAATATGCACAGTAAGATGAAATGACTTTACTAAAAATCCATAGCTAAAAGTTAGGTTGAGTTTATCTCCAAAGACTCCTTCTCGCCAATTGTTTCTGCAGCAAATTTCTGTATTTTGGTGGATTCCTTACGTTTGGGTCTCCTTTATTCACAATCATAACACAAAAAGAGACCGTCACATACCTACATTTTCTGCTTTGAATGTAATGGTAACCGATTCTCCCTGTGATGCTGACGTATTCCTCAAGCCCTTGTGTCTTCTGCTCCGAACTCAATTTCCAAGCACCGTCCTGCTCTTTGTCATATTATATGCATGTACCAGGGAAAGAGAGAGAGAGGGGTTGGGGGTGGGTGACGGTTGTTGGTGGGCGAACTCACTGCCCAGTGTGCGCAAGTGTGTATGCTCTTGTGTGCATCTCTATGAGCCGACACGGGTCTCTGCCACAGTAAATAAAAGTCATGGCCAACCAGAGCGGTGCACAATGGTCTCCCTGCAGACCGCCGTGGCCTCCATCGCCCCTTAAACATTTGCATTTCTCCACATTTCCCCGGAAAGGGCTGCATTTCATGAATGGTAATGAAGGTGGGAGTTTTAGTAGAGAGTGCACGAGAGATGGCCTCGCAATTACTCCGGGATGGTCAATTTGCAAATTTCACAGTGGGTCCCACGGCTGTGATATGAAAATGAGGGAAATGGATAGGCCCCCAAGACATCACTAACATCAACAATTAATACTGCCATTTTGATACTGCTCATATATATATTCAGATAGATGATGAGAAATATTAAGTCATAACACTACGTTCCAGAAAGTGTATTCTGTACAATGTATGTATTATTTTTTGCATTTATGCAGTGTCTCCCCACAGATGCCATGCTTTTTTTTATCTCAGTGCAGGATGGAAAGCTTTTCTTAAATTCATTTCACTGTCCTTCAAGCAGGCAGTCTGCAGGTGTATGCGTGTAAGCTGTGCGAGTGGGGGTTCTCTCCACATGCGCTTCTCTTCAGCAGGAAAGAAGAAAGTTTGTGTACAGATAAGTTGTCTGTGGAATATTCAGGGTGAGCCCACAGCACATTGTGGGACTGGAAAGAGGGACGGCGGGAGGGGGGAGGGAGAGGCAATGTATGGGTGGAGGGGCATGCAGAGAGGGGTTCATAGGCTGTCTGAACTCATCAAAGTGCGGCGGTCTGCTGTGTGTGTATAATGTCACGCCTTGAGGGGGTGGGGGCGATGTGGGAGGAGAGAGCTGATGAAGAGGTTGTAGGATACGGCTAACTAAAGGTGCACATGCCGACATGCTGAGCCTATCGGAGGTCTGGGCATAATGGCTCTGCCGCAAAGAGAAGGAAATCTGTAACAAAGTTTGATAAAGTGGAATACAGCTAGAATCACAAAGATGTAAAGTGAAATTTTACAGAGTTGGAACTAGTTAGTAGTATTGGGACGTTTACTCAGAAATATTTATAGGTTATTCTGATTCAAATGTAATATGAGTGTAACTATTTCAAACTAACATAATTACATTAAAGAGATTTTCAAAAAATTAAAACAATCCTTACATTTTTGCTGTGTGTGTTTGTAATTGTAAATATGTAAACACAGCAATGGTAGCAGTATTGAAATTGACATCAATCAAACCCCATCATTTCAACTCATTACACCGTGTTCCAAATTATTATGCAAGTGATATTTTCTGAGATTTTCTGAAATGGTCACTGCAAATGATGGTCAGTATAATTTTGAAGTAATGAACTATTACAGTATAAATCAAATTTTGCTGAACAAAATGAGAACAGTATCAAAAATAAAAAAAAAACTCAAAATGCACTGTTCCAAATTATTATGCACAACAGATTTTCTAAACATTTTATGGACTATAAAGAACTACAAACGGTTTTTCTTTGAATGTGCAGCATTAAGTGGCCTAAAATCAAAACCCATTTCAATCAAAAACATCTTAACAGGCCAAGTTACATGTTAACATAGGACCACTTCTTTGATATCACCTGGACAATTCTTGCATCCATTGAACTTGTGAGTTTATGGAAAGTTTCTCCTTGAATTTATTTGCAGGATGTCAGAAAAGTTTCCCAGAGCTGTTTTGATATGAACTGCATTCAGCCCTCAGATCTTCTGCTTGAGGAAACTCCAAAGGTTCTCAATAGGGTTGAGGTCAGAGGAGGATGGTGACCACACCATGAGTTCAAGTCAGTGAACAAGTCTGTTTGAAAATTAATCTTCATGTACGGCTGGGCCCACTGCCGCCGTTTCTGCTTGTGAACGGTTTAGGGGCCCAATTGCAGCTTCATGCACCGCAAGCCTCTGTTTTCATATCTTTCATAGCTACACTATCTGATGAGTTTCATCAGAGAGATCCTTTCTCTTTCCCCTAGTGCTTAAAACCTGTGGCCTGCTTAATAATATGGAACATCCTTCTTTGAGTTCATCGGATGAACTAATCAACCAGCTCTCTGAAATTAATTATTGCAATTCAAAGAACCCTGACACACAACACCATCTATAAATTTAATAGCACAACAAAAATGTAATTTTTATGACACTTAAATCCAATTTGCTTAATAATTTGGAACACGATGTGAATAACATTTATGAGCCCATCACCTACTTAATGACGACTAGACAATGAGTACCCCTTCACATGTTCACATTTAAATCAAAACAGTGCTATAAGCCTTAAATCAAAAATACAGAGTATAGCTTGATTTCAAAAGAAAGACGGACCTCAGTAGCTCTAAATGCAATAATGTTAGGTAGAAATAGAAGTAGCAGATAGATGGATGACACTGTAAATGCTGGATATTCAAATTGTACCTGATACCTCAGAGTATATGCAAGTTTAATAGGTGCTGTATGTGCATGCTGCTGTGCCTGTAAGCATGTTTTCACATAAAACCGTTTAAACAAAAATCTTGTGTTTAAGTAGAGGAAAAAAGCTCTTAATATTTGCCAAAGATAACCAGGTATACCATCGGGAGATAAGGCACAACTTCCATTCATAATGGCGCAAACTCTGCTTTCGTCTACAAAGTCGTAATTGAAGGTTGCATTTTTCTTATTTCTTTTGATGCCAACTAATGCTAGCAATGCAAGCCAATATTATATTTTTTTTTCACCCTTCAAACACTAAAGGAATATGTCGATAATCAGATGTACATTTTCAAAGTGACAGCACTAAAGATTAAATGGGTATTACATAAATTGGACTTATTCGTTTCTCGTCTCCTTTTGGATTTCCCGGATCCATGAAGATGAAACAAAAGAAGACAGTGCAGCAGCAATTAATTCAACACATCATCTGACAGCTTGTGTTTTGTCCTTCTTAAATAACAGTCAACAGTGTCACAATAGAAGCCGTTTGTTTCACATATCCAATACTATCTTTTGTAAACGATTGCGTTTAATTATGAAATAAAGCATTGACCAAGATTTTTGCTGTTGCAAAGCAAATATTGCACGACTCTGAGAACACTGTCTGTGTTGCCACATTATTTACACATTAAATTACATCTGGTATTACAATAGTTTATGATCACTGCACTCTGGTTTTCTCTACATTTTACATTTCTGTGTAACGTGCTTTTTCCAACTCACCGCATGTGCGTAAGAGCTGTAGGTGCTAAAGGGAAGGGCGATGGCTGGATTAAAGATGCCAAACTGCCCCACCATCTGCTGCATACGTCTGATGGTGCGCTCCTTGTCTGTGTCGGCAAACTTGACCACCAAGCTGGAAGAAGCGCCCTGAAGGAAAGAAAGAGGGGAAAAGAATGAGGGGCTTTTTCTGAAAATACCTCAAACAGTACTTGACACAGCCAAGAAAAAAAAAAAACATTAAACTGCATTACACTATATTTCCAATCAGTTTCATATGTCTGGTGATTGTAGAAACAGCTTCAAAGTACCCAAATGAAAAGCAACTGTGATGTCATTTGTTATTTGAAATGTTTTAGGCTTTCATGTTTATTAGCAGCACCAACCAATATTAACACCAATATGCTGATCAACAACTTCCTCTTCTCCATTGTTAGTGAAGGAAGCCTCAGTTGCAACATCTTTGCTCATTTTTATTACCAGAGAGGTTTCTTTTGGTTTTATCTGACATACAAGAGCATGGGACTATGAAATATGAGTAGAAATACAGTGTGCTTATTGAATGAACAGCTCCATAAGCAGATGAGAAGATGGGAAGCCTCATTTCATTCCATCATAAAATCACTTGAAGCAAAGCAGCTGCAGTCTGGTTAACACAAAACTTCAATTTGACTCGACTTTCTATTCTTCTGACACAAAACGGCACGACTTCTGGTCTATAGGGATCGATGAATAATTTTGTACCTTTAATGATGCAACTGAACTGTTTTGTTTTTTTTCATTTAACAATCATACAAGTTAAAACTCTGAGATAATAAACTTTTAATTGACTATTTAATAAAGTTCGGTTTTCATGAGCCACATTCAGACATGACATTTGTCAGGCGCTTAGAGTCAAAAACCACTGCTGACCAAAAAGAATGTAAAGGGTTTTCTTACATTTTGCTAAAACATCTTGCTGATCTTTATGACTTTTGGGTGTGTATGTCTGGTTATATCCTGCTATAACTTAAGACAGCATTTCAAAAAAAAAAAAAGAATACTCAAACATGATTCAGGGTCGTAATTAATGAAGCCATAACCTTGACGCTCTCCGTATTTCCCCTTCAGTCCACTGGATGATGAAACAACAAAAAACTCCCAGACTTTATCCTCTTGATAAAGTTTAACGGTTTATTTCAAAATAAAAATGATACGAATGTTACTTATCTACAAGTAGCTTAAAGAATAAGACGAAAGAGGCCAATATAAACTATATATCAAATTTGGATGCATGAGAGATTTAACTGGTAATCATTTTTATCCTAATAAATGATCATAAGAAATATAAACATAATTTATCCTAAAGGTCTGAATGAACTTAGACTTAATTGAAGCTTCTACAATGATGGTGTTGGTGTGATTGTCTGTTGTTACTTTATTTTAAAAATTGATGGAGAAGAAAGAAAACAACAAAGGAGAATGCTTAGCCATAAGTTCCTGGGTTAAAAGAGAAATGTTTTCATGTTATGTAGATGGACAGGACTCCAAAGCACTCCACCAAGTTAATCTTTGAATGTTTAACAGAAATAAAATCACAACTGTAGTCAAAAGGTCAAATGACATATTGTAGATTATAGTAGAGTTGAGAGTAGGAACACTTTTGAAGATTAATGTTTACTCTCATTTCATTCCAAAACCAATTTTGATATTTGTTTGCTGCTGGAGCACCAAACCAAACAGTGTTCAAGTTTTGACTTTCTGACTCAAACCTAAATAAAATTTTAAAAAGCAATCAGTTTAAGTGTTTCCGGCATTAGAAAATGCTTTAACAAATCTGTCCTTAAAGGCTCAAATAATATGATATTCAACCCAATGGTAACTCTGTGCAAACACTTGATTGGTACTGTACCGTACAAACTGAAGTGCAATTATCAATAAAGGCATCAGGATCTGTTATGTAGGTAGCGGTCAATTGCTTCTACACATCTGGACCCAATTTTCAAATGAGATTTTTTGTCATAAGGGAACTCTTTTCTATCCTGTGATGTTTTTATTCTTTATTCTCTTCTTGGCAGAGGCTCCAGCTATGCATTCATTAGCAAACTTCATCCTTCATTAATAATCTTCAAATGATTGAGAGCCAAGGTTGACCTTTTGTGTACTCCGCCTTCTTCCTGCCCTCTCCGCCCCAAACTGGCCAATTGATCCACATAAAAGGCCATAATATTACTCTGTTCTGACAGTTTAGAAAGGTTGTGTGTCAAGCATAATAAGAAGCCCCATGAAATTGATGCAAGACTGTCAATAACAGCGGTTGGCCTCTGATATGTCGGAACTAAACTGTGGGTATTTGGGAGTGGATGGGGTACAGCAATGATGGACTGCAAGCATGTTGTTCCAAATGGTATCCATAATGTCAGGTATTATTAACACCACATTCATTATGTTTTTAATTTTCTTGTCTGTGGTTTTTCTATCACACTAAGGTCTCCAGCTAATAAAGACATCCAGAGAGAGCAAAAGATACCCAAAGACAGGCACTGGACCTTTCGACTGTAGTTTATAGATTTTATGCTCTTCTTCTCCCTTTTCTCCCCACTTTGCTCAATATTTCCTCCCTCCCATTGCCCTCCTCCAGGCTTGCTCTGCTGAATCACAGGCTTGAAAGACTGCAGGTGTATGGCTAGTTGATTAGTTGGCTTTCTGACTGAATGACTGATTGTCTATTTAGCTGAATGACTCACTGGATGGAATAGAACCTCACTTTTTTATATATCTATTACAAAGTGACATTCAAAACAAAATGATTCAGCTCAGAAGACTTTTTTTTAAATAAGCATGTGTTACATTACCAGCACAATGTGCTGTGTCAAGTTTGTGCAGATTTATGTTATACCTTTTTTGATCCAGCATCCACAGCATTTGGAGAAGTACAGGATGGAGCAGTGCATGACTAGAGTAATAATGAGATATACTATAACATATTAAATATTTTAACGCTGTCTCACAGTTAAAAATATTATTACAGAGCTGGTAATGTGAACTGTATGTTAATCGTATCCTTCTCAAACTTTAAAAGGTTAGTTCAGGATTTCTCAAGTGAGATTCTGGTAAAGGTCATTACCAGTCAACACATTACTACCTCTTATCACTCTCTTTGCATCTTCATTAATGATGCATTCAGATTAGGTGGACTTTGAGGATGAATGTAATGGCTGGTCTAAGAGGGGGGTCACGACCAAAGCAGATTTCTAGCATGATAAAATAACTCCAATTTAAAAAAAAAAAAAATGTAATCGAGGTTAATGGGAATCTTATTTCATGAATTTTTAAAACCCAGGCTGGTTATTTTAAATGAAACTCCTGATTATTTACCATGAAAAATCAGGCAAGAGTTCATGCCTCCCTTTTGATCTTCCTTTGTGAAACAAAAATCACGAAAAGAAAATCTAGAGTTGTGACCAAAGTCAGTATCTATCAGAAAAAGAATGCATTGTTAAAAAAAGAAATAATCAAATTGGTTTTAAAAACCTCTATAATACTCCTTACTAGCTTCATACACAATTTCACAGAATGTGTTTCACATAGGAAGACAACTTCCTGTGTGAAAGTAACGTTTCTTCCAACCTTCCTCCAACCTTCACTTACTTAGTATTAGTGTCATTGTATTACTTAGTATTAGTGTCATTGTATCATTCAGACACCATGAGTCAAAATGCTTTACATGCTCTTTCCTCCGTACGTTTCAGAGAATATGAATATTTGTGATGCGTTATTATCCTTGTAAGTAATACCAATCAATATGATTGTTTTGAACTTGGTGTTGTTCTAATGTGGTCGATGTCTGCTTTGGTGTTGGCCCCTATCTGCTATCTTTGACATCCAACTAATCTATACTAGACTAATGCACCCAGAGATCTATTCATCGCAGATGATCTAAAACTTGCTGAAAGACATTTTAAAGAATCAAACATAAAAAATCCCAAACTATCCCTTTAAATAACATGTGGATCATAACCCTGATTATCAGGTTAAACTAATACAAGATAAAAGCATGTGATCAGTGTATGAATGCTGTATCACAGGCTGAATGTTAGAAATCTTAAAATTACTATCACTCTTTTGGTAATGTGAACTGCATGTTGATGATGTGCCTTTCCAAGAGAAAAGTGAGATGCATAATCTGAACATTTAGAATCTGTGCAGTCAAGTCTATTCTGTAAACAAAACACGAATATTCCTCCCTGAATAATAAAAAAAAACAAGGTTTCTTGTCAACTGACATTTCTGGTTACATATTAGCATCGTGTGACATTCTCTCGTAGCATTTTCGTTTTGGAAATATTTTCCATTAGGAGCCCAGGACACTGAAGCTGTGCCTCCCACTGGCTTTCCTCGGGACACCTGAATCTCGGGGCTTGTTGGCCAAGCATCCATTGCCACATTTGTTTATCTCTGAGGTTTTCCCATTTAAGCCTGTCAGGGAATCAGCGTGCAGAATCTCCATCGCTATAAAGAGAAGAGGATGGAGTGTGAAGTGAAAGTCTCATTAAATTTTTAAGCTTCCAAGTGTGAGCAGAATCCCCCTGCCGGGCGGCTCCCAGCTGCCTTGAGAGCCACTGAAGGAAGGGGAGCCACTGAAGGAAGGGGAGTTAAAACAGGGGGGATAAAGAGGCACTACAGAGACGTTTTCTGTACCAAAAGGAAAGACGGGCTCTTCAGCAATCATCTAATTGCCAACAACTAATTTTTGGTGCCTTTCCAAGCTTCACAATTTTATGAGAGTGAGGAAGATTAAGGTTCATTTTTGTGTATGAATTTCATTACTTTTAAACACATGCATGCAAGCATTTGTGTTTAGAAAAAAAAATAGAGCTGGGTTAGTACCAAGTCTTCTGCTGGTTCTTTCTTCTTGTTTTTTGTTTCTATAGAAAGTACTCTTAGCCGAGCGTTCCAGTGTTTAACTGTGTCTCTTTCCTGGACAAAGCAACTGATGGAGCCATCTCTTTTTCTGATTACATAAAACTCAGAGTTTTTGTTCCTCATAAAAGCACTTTTTTTTGCGTGAAGGCATGTTACTACAATATAATCTGCACTAGAGGTGAAAGAAAGTTTGCAGGACAAATTGTCTTTGCAGTTTGTGACTCAGGTACTGCAAATGGAAAAAGTGGAAATACTACTGATAGACTTGTTCGAGCTTAGCTTTGAAATATAAATGGAAAATATCAACAATTGGCAGCAAAAACATCTATAATTTGTTGGAATTATAGATGTTTGATTTTGTTTTTTTACTTTTGGTATATTATCATTAAAAACAATTAAATACTGAGCTTGATGAAACAGCCAATTTTACAGAATATTAAATGTGTTTTCTCTGTAATAAAGAAGATTTAAGGGAATCTTAAGATTTAAGGAAATATGAATATTGGTGATGAGTTATTATCCTTCTTCTTTTCTTCATTCTCAATCACCCGGTTCTCTCTGCTAAAGTAGTCTCACCTTATTTGCTTTCTTTTATTGTGAGATCATCCTGTGCCTGTGTCAGCTATAAAAGCCTGGAATTCATACGACATGGATATGGAGTAAAAAAAAAATAGAATAAAATAAAAAATTAACATGGCTCGGTGGGCTTGACCCATACCATCACCCCCTTTCCCGTCTCTGTGTAAGTCTATCCTGAGACCTACTTTTTACAAAGTCTAGCTGAATCTCAGCAAATTACTCAACAGCTATGGACGTAAATGTTTAATTGAGCTGCTGATACCCTCGAATAAAAATGTGTAAGTGTGTGCACACGGTAGCTAATGGCGGCCAAGGGATGGCTTGGAATATGAAGAAATTTCCATTTGTAGCATAGAGTAGTCGGGTGGCATGCAGATTCAGTGAAAGATATTACACTGACCCTGCTGATGAGATTTGATTCCTGAATTTCAAGAAAGATTTTGTTACTATTACAACTCTTTTTTTTCCCTTTTTGCAAGTTATCAATGACTAACTCTCCCTCCATGGGAGCACTTTCGAAAAGCACTTCAGGAGAGTATTTATAACCCTTGAAATTTGTCAAGTTAAAGCACATCCCAGAAATTACTTCACAAGTCTATTCCTTAATTTGTGACAGACCAAAACAGAGTTGTGTATAATCGTAAAGTGGTGAATTCAAAAATAAAAACCAAGAATGATGCCGCTGTCTGGAAGCTGATGGTACTTTGAGATGCTGATTGGGAAAAGGTTAGACCTTTAGAGGACACTGCATTGCTTTTTGGACTAGACCGCCAAGACACATTGAATCTGCTGTAGTGGTCCTACCAGGGGTGCAGGGATTTTAGCATGTTGTTGATACGCACATGCACTTTGACCTTGTGTCTTCTACACATATACACTTTCACAACCTGTGCATTACTTCACATCTCTGTGGAGGTATTCCCAGAAAGTTTTATTCAGATCTGATTTCAAAAAGTCGCATTGTCAGGGGCTCCAGTCACAGATGAGCATTGCTTCTCTATTTTCAGTGGTTTTACACTGAGACTGAAGTTCAGTGCACTCTACACCTTTATTTCATAAAAGGATGCTAAAGTATGGCAGTTCATAGCAGTTTATAGGGGTTGGTGTTGACATGACAAAATACAAAAGATGTTCAAAGGGCATAAATCCAAGGCACTGCATCCACACAGACCAGAAGCATTTTCCTCCAACAAACACAGAGAATGCACATTACACCCACGTCCTTCTAAATGAAAAGCACCATGTATTCTGCTCAAGTCCTGGGAAATAAGATCAGTCAGGGAATGTTTGACCCTGGTGAGGAGGTGGCAGCACTTCTGTTTGCGCACATTTATGTATGCAAAGATCCACATACACACCTGTGTGAATTTATGCACACTCATAAACTCTAAGGAGGCTAACCTCATGCTTTTCTGGACTGGCAGCTGATCTATAAACCTGCCATGTCTGGTTGCGGCGTTAGCATGCAATGCACTTTTACACCTTGGCCACAGCTACTATTGGCTGGACATTATTTATTCTAAGCTGTTTGACTCTGGCTATCAGCCATAGCCTTGAAGTGGCAGCAAGTGCAGAGTGCACACACATAGCTGATTTAGTTTAGTGGAACAGTTTTATTAGTCTTTTATGTAAGACTGAGAAAACTGCTTTTTAATAAGCCAGACAACTGGCAGTATTTCATTTCTTCGTGTTGTTTTTTTTTTTTTTAAGTTGCTACGAGACTTATCTAAAGTTGAGATCAATATAAACTTTAATATTATGCTTGTGGATAAATACTATGTGTGTTTCACATAGGATGTGTGCTCCCTGACTTTTCACAGGGTCTTTGCTACAATGATGGACGTATTGCTGTGAATAGCGCTGTCCTGCTGAGGCATAATAGTCCACCGTTGGTCTGCTAATCTCAGAGAGGCAGGCAACTGTGCCCTCTCCTCCCCCATCCACAGGATATGAGATGCTGATCAGATTTCTATAATCAATTTACCCGGAGCAGGAGGTATAAATCCTGTCCATTCACTCATTCTCCCTCTGCCTCTATTTCTCTCGCCCTCCTAATTTTTCCTCCCCTCCCTTCCCTTCAGCACCCTGCTTATAGTTAGATGAATAATTCAGAAGCCAATGTGGTGAAAGGTGGAGTAAACAAGTCTATTCCTTAATATCCCAAGAGGCTGCCAAAGAGAGACGAGCGAGGGCAGAGTGCTCGCATAGATAGGCTGAAAGCACAACACAGAAGGAGGGTATCTATGGAAAATGGACATTCACAGGCATTCTTTATGACTAGCAGCCATTTGCACTTAGATTGACTCAAAAGTTGCGCCAAGATGGCACAGCTGGCTTCTAGGAAGCCCCCACTCCACTTTCTCTGTTCCCAACATGCTACAACCATTAATAATGAAATCACACAGTGAAACACAACACCTGTGACACAGGGTCGAAAGAGTTCAGGATCTCTGAGAAGCTAAGGAAAGTAAGACCAGGACAAAAACAGAGCATACTGTACTTCAGCTTACTGTATAATACAAGACGTGACTCCCCCGTCCTCCTTCTAAATGTCACGGAGAGTAACTCCTTTCATGTCCTGGGTGCAACGCCAGTAGCTTTTATTTTGACACCATCAGGTATATATAGGGACTATGACTAAACACAAGCCACATGAAAATGAGAACTAGGGTGTTTTTTTTTTTTTTTTTTTTTGTGTGCTCACAGTAAATCAAATGCAGAGAGAATTTAGAGGACACAGTGTGCTTACACAACGAGCAAATGTAATCTCACACTGGATTTCTATTCACAGATTATGCAAGCAGAGCTGCTGATTGATGACTCACCCAAAATTCAATTATGACTCTTAACAGTTTTATCTGGATATAGGTTTAGCTTTTTTTTAAGTACTTTGCTAATTAAAGAATCAGAGCAAAGGTCTTTTGCATGCATCAGTGTTTGCAGATGGTATGTGTATAACTTTATGTGTTCAAATTGCATAACTTGAGATGAATCAAGAAGTTTACATACACTCAAAGGGGGCAGAAATGTCAGAGATATTAAACTTTTATTAATGTATTTGATACTAGTGGAAGGAGGGACACCAGCTGGAATAAAAATGTGACTAACCGCTGAAATTATAAAAAAAAAAAAAAACAAGAATTGGGTGAACAGGTTGAAATTTATTGTGAATTTTCTCAAATCTTCAAATTGTACAATTAGGCTCAAATATATTCATCAGCACTACTAAAGTGGAACCTCTGAATACTGATTTAATCTATTCCATCAGGCATCTTTTAAGACTCAAACACTTGGAAACATTTCTCCCCTTTGAAAATAGTTCAACTTCCATTACGATTTCAAGGAGAGGCTTAAAGGTGTGTTTTCAGTCCCAGTGTATTCGACACAATGACGAGAAACGTCAGCATCACTGACATTCTGTACTGGAAGCGCTATCCTTAGGTTTGCAATTAAAACAATGTAGGTTCATTGACACTTACTACTCCCAGCACTTTAAAATGTTAGCAACATCCTGTAATATTGTTATTGTGAACATTGGTTGCTCAGAGTATGAGAACCTGTGCCGATGGGTGATTCATGTGGCAGATACAAGAAAGGCAAGAGGACAACAGTGGAGAAAATGGAATCTCACACTGGATTTCAGTGGCAGCAGCATACAGTATTCATGCACAACAAAGCCACAGTTGTGAGAGCTCAGAGGAAAGGCTAACTCTCCTGGTCAGATTCTCACTAACTACATCATAAAAAGTCATTTTTGGAGGAAAATTTGTGACTGGGATATCCATTTATTGTTTATATTTGGGGAGAAGTGTCTGATTACAATGAAGGGATAATGTCCATTTCTCTAAAATGGACACTTTCCAGCTTGAATGAAATTTGAAGCGACCCCTCCTCAGACAAGACAAAAAGGATTATAGAGATAAGTTCTATTGTCAAACAAAACTAAGATTAACATATTTGCCCACTGTGGCAATAAGTAGTTTTGGAGTAGTCAAAATGAGATCTTCATACAAAGAACTAGTAGCACAGTCTTTTTGTTTGTTTTGCACCTGAAAGGTCAGAACAATGAAAATAGAGAAATCTCTCCACATTCCTCAACCTTACTTTGAGTCAACAAATAGAACAAACTAAAGAAAATGGTAGCTCTCAAGTTTCACCAGGTTCAAATTATGCACTGTCATAATTTTGATAGTACAGATCAGAGAGAATTCACAGTGAGTATAACTTTGTGCTTCAAATTCTTGTTTTCCTATAACATGATGTTGGATCAACAGTCTAGAGTGGTTAAAATAAATAATCATAAACTAAAATTAAAACATTCTTGCCAAGTCTAGGCTTATGTAAACTTCTGAGATGCATTGTAGCTATTACGAGCAATTTTGTGTTTTGTGTGAGTGTTTCTGAAAAGAACCGTGCGTCTGTTCGAGCTGTACTCACAGGCATGGTCTGGCTGCCGTGCAGGGCGCCGATTGCAGACTGAGCCTCAGTGTGTGTAGAAAACTTGACGAAGGCGCAACCTGGAAGAAAGAGGAGATGCATATCAAACACACAGACACACACATAATCATATGTACGTATGTGGATATTTAGGGTAACATTAATAAAAGATGTAGAATTAAATCTGACACTTCAGAAATCAGTGAGCATTAAGAGCCTCTCAGTGCACAGCAAGCTTCCCCCTATTCTGGGCATTATGCAGGCAGAGAAGCAGAAGCTGCAGGCCAGATACCACTGATGAAGCAGAAAAACTTCCTATTTAGCACCACATGCCTCTTTGTTCAAATTAAATCGCAGTTAAAAAGGATAAAATCAAATAGAAAAACCATTACAGAACATGTCTTGATCAATATTCGAAGATGTGGAAAAAAACTTGAAAGCTAAGAAATCACAGAAACAATGCTGTTTGCTATAATGTCTTTTCAGCGAATGTGACAAACTCCACAGCTGGAGTTTGCTGATGAGCCTTTGTAATCCTTCCCTGCCTTTGAACCAAAAAGAAGCATTAAAAAACTAAAATCACCAAACAGTCCCCTACATCATTACAGAGAAACATGAAAACATGAGAAGTGATTCTGTTTGTTCCAGTGAAGCAGTCAGTCACTGATCCACCACACTGTCCCCCAATTTCATGTCATGTGAATCGTCTGTTTTTTAGTGTTTCATCTTTTGTGCCTTATTCTTCTTATAGTCTGTCCTGCTTGACCCAGTCACCTTGGTATTCTTCTCCTGTTAATAGGCTCACCACTGTGGACACCAGCCGATCAAGATGTCTATTCAGCTGCTAAACTGCTGCCCGCCTCCCTCCTACTGAGATGTGGATAGAAAAAAGCTTTGAGTTCCTGATGACCTGTACAAGGTCTTTGCCACAATGGGTCATGTACTGCTATAATTAGCCTTTTACCCCTCCATACACGGATTGCTGGTGTAGCTGTAAAGAAGAATGGTGGTATTTCTTCAAAACCCAAGTTCCCTACTTGGATTTCATTTCATCTCTTGAAATGAAATCCAAGATACTACCACTTGTTGCCATGAAAGTCCATCAGAGATGAGGACTACTAATTATAATAAAAGAGGCGTCACAGATGAGTTGATGTTAATAAACATATTTCCTTAAGAGTATACTTTTGTGCCTAACAATAAACCAAAAGTATTTTAGTTGAAGAAACTGAAATTTTGCGATTGAATTAATCCCAATTTTTAATATGCGACATTCTTAAAATGTCGCATATTAAAAATGTCCCATATTAAAAATTTGCCTTAGAGGCTCATTTTTGTCACGCAAGAGGTGAAACTTGTATTTCTTTTCGGGGTGCTGTTGCAAAGAGCTGCAGGATTCAATAATCTATAGACACCAACGTTGAAGCCAATAGATCCAGTCAAATATTTTCAACAGGACTAAGAACTTTAGGCTCTAAAGCAGCATTAGAATAAAAAATATGACTATTCTAGAGAATAAATGGTTTAGCAAGTTTAGAAGAACTGCTGTTGGCAAACGGTTCATCAAGCTACATCCTGCAAGCCAAAATTAAGTTAATTAATCTAATTTCAAATGGATTAAAATAAGATCATAGATTTTGCATCCTGAGGCAAACTTGGAGAAGCACCATGCTGGCTGTCATCAGTAGATGGTTCAAGCCTCTGTGAGACTGCTGTGTTGGGTTAAGATACATTGCCTGTGCAACTCTCACTTTTTCGAATTTAATGTCACATTTTCTTTTCTTCTTGTCTTTCTCTGACTTATTTTACTGAGAATCTGGATTAATTTAGATGATCCATATGAAGCAACATTCAATCTGTGCTTGGTATCTTTGATATCTATTTTTTGTGGATCAGAGAAGAGATTTGAGTAGTTATTCAAAAGTAAATAAATCCAGATTTTTCTTTTTGTGGGAAATCCACCAACTTTTCTGAAAGGCGTAGCTGACATCATATTCAATAACCATGACCCCGCAAAGGCGTTAATCCTCTTGAACCTTTCCATCTTTTCTCACTATACATCCACAAAGTTCAATACATTTATGTGACAGACCAATACAAAATATTATTGTAAAGTGGAACAGAAAATTGAAAGGCTGAGCAATGAGAGAAATAAGCAGCTCAGAGGTTGGTGGTGGTAATTCTGGAGTGGTGAAGAGACAAAAGTGGGACAATCTGTTCACAGATTACTTGTGCTGTCTACAAATCCGTTCCTTTAAAGAAGACAGGCAAGGAAAAAAAAATGCTGTTTTTGAAAGCAGTTTGCCACAAATGATATACAACACAAATACAGTGGAGTGAAAAAGCATTTATTCTGTTATTTTGCATGTTTGTTACACTTACATATTTCAGAACATCAGACCAGTTCAAATATTAGTCAAAGACAACGCAAGTAAACACAAAATGCAGTTTTCAAATGCAGATGTTTATTTATAAGGGAGAAAAAAATAACATTCTGGCCTGTTCTGAAAAAGTGATTTATCACCTGATAAATTACACCTGAGTTCACTGATTACTGTCACACCTGTTTTAAATCAAGACTTCATTAAGTAGAAACTACTTAACAAAGGAAGGACAAGGCTTTATTTGCATAGATATTAGAATCCTAACCCACACTCCTTACCATTTGGTTGTAGTAATGCATTAATTTGTTTGCCAATATCCAATAAATACCACAAAAAGAAGAATGGAACATCATACCAACAGTATACTGTGGTAATAGATGGGATGGTTTGGGGCTGTATTCAGGAGCGAGATAACTTGCTGTGGCAAATAGAACCATAAATATGTAGTTTACCCAGAAATCCTAAAGGAAAATGTCCGTCCATCTGCAAGGGGTATGCAGATGGACCTCAAGATGAACTTGGGTTATGCAGCAAGACTTTTAAATTGGTTTGATGTTCTGAAACACTTCAAGTGTTCAAATATGCAAAAAAAAAAAAAAAAAAAAACAAATAAAACAAATGGAATAAAAACAGGAATTGGCAAACATTTTCCCACATCACCGTATGTGAAAGAAGGTTCACAAAAATATTTGTGAAAAAAAGTGTAAAAAAATGTTTTTGTTTTGTTCCAAAGTCAAACTATTGTGTTTGAACACACCATTCTCACAGTGAAACGTGGTGGACTCATTGTCCAGGCTTTTTGTGGTTTTGTGCTTTTAACTAAATGCCTGGTGTAAGAGCTAAAGTCGACCATAAGTATTTTCTTTCCTCACAGCTGATCGATTTCTCACACATCAAACAGATCAACAATCTCAAGTCAAGCACTCAGGCTGCTTGACCTATATCTGATCCATATGCCATCTGTAATTTACATGATGTCCACACCCGCACACACACACACACACACACACACACACACACACGCACACACACACACCCACCCACCCCCCACACACCACACACACGCACACACACACACCCACACACACACACACACACATTTTTGATTGTCAGTCATTGACCTAAATAAATCTGACAGCCAAATCCCCGTCTCCTACCTTTGCTGTTTCCGTCAGGACCTCTTAGGACTGTGCACTCCTCGATGACTCCATAGGGCTCAAAGAGACGATAAACATCCTCTTCAGTCTGCTGTTTATTCAGCATCCCGACAAACAACTTCCTGTCTTCTGAAACAAAGAAGGGGACAAAAGGTTACTTTATACCCGACCTCAATTATGAAACTAATTAGAGAGCAGGTTGATAACGGGAAACACTGTCATTACAGTGAAAACAATTTTACCACAGGGACAAACAAATATAATACATACATTCAAAGGTTCTGCAGAGTAGCCATTTTATTTATTTACTGAAGCTCAGGCTCAAGTCACACAGTTTATTTCTTTCCCAGGACTGATCTATATCCAATAAAACAGGGTCTGATTCCATGTGAGGGCAAGTGTGTGGTCATAGTGCAAGGATGAAACAAAGGGAAACAATGGAGTAATGAAGACGTTACTCACATACTCTCTCACACATGCATATATGAGACTCAGACCAAAGACAAAGAGGGAGTCTTTGGTCGTGTAAAAGCAAGAGGGGCTCCAGGCGGCTTCATCCTCCTACACACCAAACTGCACTGGCTGGAACCTAAACTTCTTTCTCCTTCTTCAACTCATCACTCCCCCCACACACTTATTCATCCATCTCTTCCCTCTCTCTTTCATGCCTTTCCCTTTCTCCTCTCGCTGAATCCACATTTTTGCCCCTCATTCCTTTTTCAACTGCTGCCCTCCCTCTCTTCCTCTCTTTATCTCTTTCTTACCCTACTAATTGCTGCTGATCCAGAGTTTTTTTGTGTAGCCAGAGAAATATTTCAGCGCACTCTTCAGTGAACAATGGTGTGTCTCTTCAGCGGGGAGACAAGCCATGAATAACGCTGACTTTTCAATAGATTGCCTTTATGCTATTGAGTCCTGTTAAATGCTGTGGGATCTGATCTTTACCTTGACCCGACACCCCGTGTTTACTGATGTGCTCTGGCACTGTATGATTAATGCTACGCCGTTGTGTTTCTGCCGGCAGCAAGAAGCACTAAAATCTTTTTCTCTATACAGATTGTTTCTCCAACTCTGACCCATAAAGTCACAGCAGAGAAAGCGACGGACTGAACCAACAGCTACTGCTGTGAAGAGGAGGAGAGCTGCATAAATTGCTACCAGTCGTATTGACCAGGTTCACTAGTAATCTCTACACACCTGTGCCGTTGACATTCCTAGACTCAACCCATGAGGCGGTACGTCAAATCTCACAGCAGGAATGGGCTCCAGCAAGGCTTTTGCGACTCGGCACCATCAGTGATGCACCTTTAAAATAATCACCCGTGTCAGAGGATTGTCTAGGGAGGGGCGTCCCTGGTGCTGGCTCCTTATTGCAAGTGGCAGGATCAGAGGCTACGTATAAAAAATGGAAGTGATGCAATGTGACATCTGTCAGGGTGGATTGGAGAGCATTTATCTGCAAAAAAAGAAACGCCTGAACTGGAAAATGAAAGGCCAAGATGGTCCATCCTTTTGCTGGAGGGAGAATATAAATTCCGAGGTTGAATCAGAAAGATGAGTCAAGGATGTTTGCGTGTGCGTGTGTGTGTGTGCGGGGGAGTCTGTGTGTACAAGTAGATGGGTGGTTCAAAACGATAAGGATTTTTCCTGAAATAAAACCAGGCTACATCTCAGACACAGATCTAGTTCATATCACATGGAGAATAATCTATGTAAATACTGTCATAGTGACTTTCAGAATTATTTTTTTGATCACCATTGAACTTTAGCAGCATCACTTGGAAATATGCTAAAGAATCTCTGTATTTTATTGACCTTATGTTGCTAGACCAACACAAACAGGGAAATAATTGTGAAGTAAAAGGAAAATTATAGTTTTATTTTTTTAACTAATAAAAATCTGCAATCCAATGCCCTTAACAAAAAAAAAAAAAATTGCTTTAGAAGTCTATCTATGAATAATTTAATCTCTCCATAAATCCGGCTGTTCTATGAAGAGATACACAGCACAGGTCGAAGAATATGTGGACAGGAAAACTATTAGATTTGAACTACATATACATGGCCATTATGGAAGAATGGCAGAATGAAAGTTATTGTTGAATGAAAGTCACAAGGAGTCATGTTTGTACAGAGTAAGTATGATGCGGGTGAAAATTTTGGTCAAGCAAACAAAATCTCAATAATATTCAATCCTTTGAATATAAGTAAAACATGTTCAATTAATGATCTAATTTAAATCAAAATCGTTGTGAAAATAAAACAGAAAAAGGTGAAGGGAGTATAATAGTTCTGTGAGGCATAGCACCCTTGGAGTTTGTCGGTTCTCACTTTGGTTGCGAGATTCCTTCTCAAGTGGGTGTGAGAAGTTATGAGTTCATGCATGACCTTTACCAGTTTTATAGGAGGTTCTCTCAGAGAATCACAGTGTTAACAGCTTCCATGTGGCATGGTTTAAAATACGATGCTGCATCCATCCTGCAGCTTAAGGATTGCTAACTGGAACGTCACCTCCAGCTAAATGGAATAATATTTATAGGACTCGTAGTATAAAATGACAAGTGGACACTATATATCACCTACCTGTGTAATATGGCTTCACAAAAAGCCCTAGACACTAAAATCCTGATCAGCCCACCATTCGTCTGTCTCATGTCTGAGAAAGATAAGAATCTGAAACATATCCAAGAGGTCATTGCAGTGTGGGAAACCGGTAACATTATATAGATATTGTTTTTACATTATTTGGCAAAAAAAATCTGCGACTGAGGAAATTGTGCCAAGCATATTCTGGCACGTGACTCGACCACTGAGCAACTCATGACAACAGATAATGTTGGAAATCTGCTCCAGTCTAGGATTCTGCTCTGGCTGCTCTCAGCTAAACGGCTTCATTGGGAATTTATGTCTCTTTTTTTCATTCGCCGGCAATAGAAAAACATTAACTCATTTATCAACAACACCGCAGAACAACTAGTGTGCAAACAAACAGAAGCAGAGGGTAAAATGCCTACAGTAAAGTCAACACAGTTATGACAAGAAAGGGAGTGAAAGGGCAAAAAGATGTTGAAGAAAAAAGTTACAACAAAGACTTTGAAGGCTTAAAAGAAAGGGTTAGAGATAACAGCTCTTTCATCATGGCCCAACCTGCCTGTGTCTTAATCTTGTGACTCACAGTATTGACTTTTTCTTAGAGTATCTTCGAAATCCACAAGACCAACGCAGATTCAGTTGTATAACTTGCTCTTAGTGAACGTGCACAACACTTCGTCTGAGTAAGGTATTTTCTAAACTGTACAAAATTAAAGGTGGACTGCTGCAAATTCACTTTTTGCATGTTATCAAAAGGTGTTTTTGTTTCCTTTCACTGCTCACACAAGTCAACATAAATTTTATTCTAAATTACCAAAAGAAAGCTTTGAAATATTTAAGATGAGTTATGATCACTTAAACAATTCAGGGGTCCAATAAGCACCTGCGTGTTCACTGAGAAAACCTTGAAACATGCTGACATTAAGATGCTTTTACAACTCACGGTGGCGGCGGGTATTCTCACATCAACAGAGACACTCTACCGCATCCCCACTGACACGCTCATGCTACCATTATTTTTAATTTACACCACAGGTGCTTGTTGGGAAAAAAAATAATTTCAAAATATAGAGAAACATATCCATAGTGCTTATTATTTGTTAAGAATTAGACTCAGGTCTCTTTTCAAAACACAACCTCATGACTAACTGAGATTCACTTATGAATAAATAAAGTAAATGCTTAATAACTTTCAAACCAAAAGAAGAGTTGCCATGTTAATTAAAGTGCTGAAACTAATTTATTTTAAAATATTGGATCTCAAACTGTATCACACCAACATACTATTTATGGCAGGAAGGGAAGAATCATGTTTTATGCAGTGTTGTTACATTATCTTATTATGTGTTGATATTACCATAATAGGATAATGTTATCTTATTATATCTGAGGCAATACTGAGTCTGCCTCAGACTCAATGTTTTTAAGTCTGAAACAGACTTAAACATTTTGAGCCTGCCTCAAATTTGGAACTGGTGTGAGCGTTCCGTATGCAAAGACTGCAAAGCAGCTGAGTCAAGTTTGAGTCTGGTCCTCAGCACCCTCTTCCCTCTGCTCCCTTCCTGTCAGATTACTGTCAAATAAAGGCCACTAGTGCCCAAAAAAAATCCCAAAAAATACAATAAAAATGTATATGGTGCATGTGTAGTAACAGCACATCCATGACGAGTACAACAGCAAATGTCCATACAACATCTGCACCACGTGTATTACTCTGCGTTGCCTGATTATCCCAGAGACCATTAAGGATTTCGGACAGTCAGCTGGGACTTACTGAGTAACAATGAGGCCAAGTGGCAGTTTTTGGAGCCAGGGGAACAAAGAGAGAAAAGAAGAGAATGAGCAAGAGAGGGGAGGAGAGACAGAGCAGAATGAATGGAAGGGAGAGTCAGAGCAATGAGCCCAAACTCTAAGTTGCCGGCCATACAGTCCTGCAGTCCTTGATAAGCCGGGATGTATGAAAGAGCTGTGCCACCAGAGCTGGTGAATCACTGCCACCGGTGGGGAGGATGAGGAAAGGGCAGAGCACTGAGAAGGAGAGGCAATGGAGGGGGGGAGGCCTGGTGGAGGGGATGAAGGAGAGCATATCAACTACTTTCGGCACTCACTGGTTTTCAAATTTCTCTGCTCTGTCTGTCTTTTTCTCAATTGTTGCAACAGTAAGAGAGCGAGGATGGAGCGGGGGAGAGACAGACAGAGAGAGAGAGAGAGAGATATTGTGACAGAACAGGGGGAGCGTGTGCTATGGAGAAAACGCACTTGTCAGAAGGATGGGGAGGTTGCTATGACAACTACTTATACAGCGTGCCGTCAGTCATGTTTCATTGGAGTTAGGAGAAGAGCAGATGAATGAAGGGAGGAGAGGAGCAGGGGAAGGGGTCATTTATCCGTCTGTCTGGCGAGGTGGAGTGCAAATTTGACTGTCATCCTCGCAGATAAGGACAAATTACGAACAATATTAGCTGGCTAATAAAAGGGAACAATAATGAATAGATAAATATATTAAAACCAAATGAGATAGCATCCAGGCAGAAACA